ACTCATATACTCTACTATGGAGCTCCGGTAGCCTAGTGGCAAGAAGCTGTGCTGCAATCCCGAAGGCACAGGGTTCGAGGCCACCAGCTGCTCTGCGGGAGAAGGATGGGCAATCTCCTCTCGTGTGATTACCTGCCTCTGAAAACCCCCTGGAGGGTCAGCTATGGGTCAGGTTTTGACTTGACGGTCCCCAACAACAACACACTCTACTATATTTGGAATACTCTTAAGGAGGTATACCAACTTTCCCAGGGTCATCCAGTCCAAAAAGTGGCAGAACCAAGATTGCAATAACTGTTCATCTCTTTTTCGCTTTCCTTGGTATCCAGCTGCTTTAGAGCATAGCTATAACAGAGAGTAGATGATGTCAGGCTGGATGGGAAGCTCTGAGGAGCCAATCACTTGCAAACTGGGTTCTGCCCTTGAGCTTGAACTCTGCCTGCCAGACCTGGAACCCCACTATGGTGGCTGGCAGGTGGGCCTTTAAAGAACAGGAATGCTCATAAGTCACTAATGCTTCTGGGCAGGTTCCTGGGGAGAAGCTTGGAGGTGGGAAAGTTTAAAGAGCTGGATGTGGAAGAGTGTGCAGAGAGATGAAACGCTGCAGAGCGCTGGTGGGCGCCCCGATTCAGATCAGCGCCCCACTCAGCCTGACGGTGAAGCTGAAGCAGTCCATCTGAAAACTCTTTTTGGCTTAGCTGGAAACCAAGATCCTCAAGCACTAGCCCGTGATAACTCGGGCACAATTTTCTGAAAAGAAAATACATGGGACTGGAAATTTTTTCCCGGGAAATTCTTCCTCCTAAAATTTGTTTACCTGTGAGTTCAGTATTGTTTGGGAAATGGCCAGCGTTGGAAGCAGGGAAGGAGTCCCTATGTGGTGTCAACGGTAAAGCATCACTGTTCCACGTGAAGGTGGCTGTCTGCACTCACCCAGACACTGTCTTGTATGGCTGCCTGAAGATCGGAACTTGGAAGGTCTCAGCCCTCAACACCCAGTGGAGAAGTTTTCTCTACATATGTGAGGTCGCCACTGAGTCTGAAATCACTTGATCATAATTCAAAAGAACAGGGAAGAAAGAGTTAATCTGTGAAGCCACCCCCAAAACTCAGTAACAGCACTGCAGCCATTTAAAGATCTTAGCATAGTGACATTTCTGTTATTCAGAGAAACAAGAACATCTCAACGACTATCAAGTTTAGAAAAAAAGGCAGCATCTTGACCACAATCTCTACCATTCATCTATGATACCACATGAGTGTTATTTGGTGGAATTCACTGGCAGACTATGCATTCAAAGCAAACCTGGCTTTAAATGAATGTTTCTATCCAAGTGGAAGTGGAGAGAGTTCTTGGACAATTTGCATCATGTTTGACTATTTACATTGTTGTTGTTGTTCATTGCCACTGAGTGGAGAACGACTCATAACAACCCCATGAACAAAAGGCCTGGAGCCTTTATATAACCACTGTCATTTCTCCAGTTTCACAGTTTCCAGAAGCATGTGGTTTAGGGAGTGGATGCCACTCCTGCTTCTAAACCTGTCTTCAAACATTACACATGATAACTTAAGAGTGGGTATCTCCATAAAGAGTTAACAAAGAGAAACAGGGAGAAAATATCCATCTATTATATATTCATGCATTTCAAGAATTTCATATGGCACAAAATTGCTTGCCGTAGGGCTTGTTAAGGAAGTTCTGACTATCCAGAAAGTAGGACTTGAAGGACCTTGACTTCTATTATCAGTAACTATAACTTCAAATTACAGTTTAAAACTCAGGGTAGCTAGTTACTAAGAAGTAATAGCGTATGCTGTGTGAAATTACGGCTTTGAAGATCGGCAAGTGAATTCTAACCAAAGTGTGTCATTTGCTACCTCCATGATCTTGTTTTATTTACTTAATCATTTAAGCCTCAGTCTCTGCAACTAGGAAAAAGACAAGGCCGGTCAGCAGCCTGTGTCTAAAATACACTGAGGTAGATCTATTCTGAAATTCAGAAGTTTTCACATTTTAGAAACATATTAAGGCATAGAGAGTGTATAGTAATACTCTCAGCAGGGTCTGAGGCAGTATGCTGCAAGCAAGCAAATTAACATTTCTGCAGCCAACTATATGAACAGTCACTGTAAATGGGATGCATTATGACTATAAATAGCTCCAAGTCAGTTCAGGTTACGTCTTCCTGCTACCTGAGTTTGTTATCAAGCGTCCAAAATATCTGCCAGGAATCTGAAAGGGCTAGTGGCTCCCTCTGCTTTGGGACATATGAACAGAGGAAAGTGGATTTGTTTTCTACATAGTTATGCATATATGTGTTTGTATGTAGATTCACGTGTACACAGAGAGAGAGAGAGAACTTGGAAGTACAAGCACACTGGGACATGGTGCATTATAGTCTGTGTTAATTGGAAGATTAGTTGTTCAAATCCACCAGCTGCTCTGCAGGAGAAAGACAGGAAGTTCCTACCCCAACCCTTTGGGAAAAAAAAGTTTACAACCTCAAAAATATGATAGAGGGTTCCTGTTAGTTGAAGTCGACTCAATGTAATTAGGTTTGGGGGAGGGATAGAGATGGGGGGGAGAGAGAGAGAGAGAGAAAGTTTATACAGATATATCTATAATATAGAGAGAGAGATATAGATATATCTATATCATATGCTCAGGCTGTTCATTCATAGGGTCGCTATGAGTCGTCTACGACTCGACGGCATTAAACAACAACAACAACATATCATATATAGATATATCTATATATTATATATAGATATATCTATATCATGTCATCTATTTGTCTGTGTATGTGTCTGTCTATCTATCTATCTATGTATCTATATCTGTCTACCTCATTGTCTATCTATCTACCTATCTATCTATCTCTATGGCTAGAGAGAAGACAAAGTGCTTTTAGATTAGCTCACAACACTTAATAAACACTCTATATTAGTGAGAACATATGTACATTCCCCAAGGCCTGAGACCATTGTTTTATTCACTGATCTCCTCCCATTCCTAAACTGTGTTGGTGCCTGGGGAAGGCTCAGTAAATAGTAGTGGGAGTAAAGAATATGTGTCTTCATAAATCATAACTCCCTATTCAAGACAAAAGTGAGGTGTTTTATGTTAATTGAGTAGACTCATCCACCACTCATCCCACCCCCCCTATTCCAAAGCATCAAGTGCTGGCAGGCACTAGTTCACCTACAACACAATGTACATATCATTTCTTTGACAGTCCACTGATACATACGCACTAAGTCTCGCTATAGTGACTGCTGACGTGCGTTCTTTTGACAGCCTTGCAAATCTCGAGTTCAGGTCTAGGCACCCATGGGGCGCTCCTTCTTTCTTGAAATGACGAGTGGCTCCCCTTGGAACTCTCTCATCCAGGCTTTGCTCATGGGCAATGAGAGAAAGCATCCCGAGGAAGGCTCAATGCATTTTTCAAGACGATATCGTAGAAGCAGAAATGCAATCAGAAATTCCAAGGGAACCACAGAGGGTTCATTCACATGTGGAAGATCAATATTTCATTCTCTTCATTCCCCCTCCCCCCACCCCGCCCCACACCCTTTTAAAACCATTACACTCGGAAAGCAAGTAACACTGGTACCATTCACTTCTGCATCTGACTTTCAGGAAGACGAAATGTTGGCAGGCTTGTAATTGAAGTTCTACCTCGGATAACTGTGTGTGTTAAAATTAACAGAAGCTTATGAACAGTTCCAAAGAATAAATATGTATGGTCTTCACTATGTGGTGTGAGAAATACAGCAGCACCCGTGCACACCAGGAACATTTTACCATGTGCCAACAGTAAAACAAATGCAGTTCCGCAACTCATACAGACCCATGCACACACACCACAACAAACATTTCCACACCATGCTTTCCATTCCATCGGATAATGAATGAGTTAGTTTCTTATTACAGTTTATCTCATAACAGTACAAAGCACTCTTTAAGTCCCTAGGACAAGCATTTTCCTTCTTTCTCCACACTAGGTTGATGATTAAAATTAAAAGTGGAGAGGGGGGAAAACCCAAAACACAAAACCGCCAAATCTACCAGCACTTGGAGATCCATGGCTTCAAAAAGTAAGCAACACAATAACATATTGTTAGCAAACTGAAGTGTTAGGAATTCAAGCTGAGCTGTAACACATACCTCTTCAAGTCTGGAAGCTTGAAAAGAGCTTTGCATGTAGATTACTTACAAGAAACCAGAGAGAAAATCTTTATCAGTTTCTGTATTATATGAGTAGTATTGCATCTATGATATTGGAGGAAGTGGGGAGCTTAGCTTTCTCTGAAGAACTAGTTTGCCTACATTTAAAAACTCTTGCTTTGAGTGAAATATCTCGGTCACAAAAGGATAAATACTGCATAGTGCCACTATTGTAAAATGAGACTGACATCAGGGTTGGGGGTGAGACTGAGAAAGATGGGATAAATCACGTATACTGAATCGGAACAGATGAGGGAGAGAACTGTTTAAAAGGGATATGTGATTAGATATTATTGTCATGACAGGAGTACAGAATAAAGGCTGTATAGTGGAGTGGGCTTGGGGGGAGGGATTGTATAACAATGAAAGAATTTTTATTTTACTTTTCAAAATGAAGGCTGCATAGTGGCGTCGAATTGGGGGACGAGACTGTCTAATAATGAAAGATTTTTTTCTTTGACTTTTCAAAGAGAAGAGCAAACGGGGGCAGAAGGAGGTTGGGCAGGGAGAAAAGTGCAATAATGAATGAATGGAAATCCAAAGTCTCTGTAAACTTTCATTAAAATTAATTAAAAAAATAGGAGATATAAAAAAACCCCTCTTGCCTTGAGATTGTTTATAGCCTTAAGAAAAGTGGTGGGTGAATCCCTCCATATGATGTCCTTGCGGATTTACAGCTAAGCACCCTAAAAACCATGCAGAGACTTCCAGCAAAGACCTAAAAACCACAAACAGACCCTGAAATTGAGATCTTAGAAATGATGCTTACCCGACCAACAAGAATCGGTTCAGGTCCAGAGAACTCCTCCAGGACAAACATTTGATTCCAAACCCAGCCCCTTTTGGAACGGTTCAAAATCCGCTGCTCCTCACTTAGCCGCTTTAGTTCCAAGGGGGATCCGCTCATTAAAACTTGAGACTGATTCATCGGAGCCGTGTAAATGCAAGGGGGAAGAGTAATCCATAATATTATTAATGGAGTCCAGAGATCCAAGAGCATTTCCGCTAGTCTTTCTGGCATGGTCCCGCCAGTTACGCAAATCACCATGAAAATGAGACAATTACTTTTTTTGCCTCCGGTCTGCAGCCATCCACTTCATCATGCAGTGTGGAGCGTTTACTTACAGCTCTGCCACATGTTTAGAGCACAGCAAAGAGACATCATCGAAGCAGTATTGCTAACACCTCGATCCATTGGCTTCTCTTGTCATTGAAATTTCCTGGAGGGGAGAGAAACAAGGAGAAAGAAAGATAAAGGTCCACTGACGCTTAGACATCAAAAACACCCTTCTTTTCCAAAGCACGTAAATGATCCATCCCGGTCACAGCTGCAGAGCTTGTGCAAAGGCAACACACCTAAGAAGTCAGAACCCCACAGCCCAACACGCGCTCTGAAAACAAGAGGTTTTATTACATGATTAAACTGGGGATAAATAATGTGCAACAAAGGCTAATAGTTACTTTACTCTCAAAAGCTTCATTTAAATTCTAAAAAGTAAGACTCCAGGTTACAAACGTGAGATTACATACCCCTCCTACATGTCTTTTAATATTATGTAGATTTACCCTTAAGTTGAAAAGCCTGGGCTCACCACTACTTGTACAACTTCCTCATTACAATCATATCCCCCTGCTGTGCTTGTAGCTTTTAATCACTGAAAAGACTTCACACCATTTTTTCCTTCACTCTAGCTGACCTTCTGCTGGGTCTCCAAGGCTGTGAATGGCAGGAGACAAGATGGCCCATCTTTCTCTGGAGAAGACAGAGGTGGATGAAAACCACCAGAGAGGTATGTGTGGCTTTGGGGTGAGCAGAGCAACTCTACAGACGAAATCATGAGAGACAATCCCCTTTCTCACGTTAAAGTCAAGCCAACTAAGAAGCTGATGCATTTGTTCTGATTTACCTGTGAATTCAACTTTCAGAGACGCTTAGGAATAGATCATGTTTGCAACACAGAGACTTGGTGCATTAATTTTGTACCAAGAACTGCGGCTGTTGTTGTTATTGTCAGGTGCAATGATGACCCACATGTGACCACACGGACAACAGATCTGAACGCTGTCCTATCCTGTGCCAACCTCACACCTCCTGACCCAAGCCCACTGCAGCACTTTGCTATGTCAGTCTATCTGGTTGTGGGTCTTCCTCTGTTCGCCATCCTTCCATTTTTCTAAGCTTGAAGTCTCTTTCAAAGAACAGCCTCTCGTGGCAATATGCACACGCAAACTATGTGAGATGATACTTAATCATCTTTGCCTCCGATGAGCACTCACCTGGTTGCACTTTCTCCAAGACTTATATGGGTTGTTTTTTGGGGTTGTTCTTTTGTTTGTTTGTTTGTTTGTTTTGGCAGTCAATGCTTTATTCAGCCCTTTTCTCCCACACCACAGCTCTCAGGAATCAATTATTCTGTCATTCGTATACATTGTCCAGCTCTCAGATGCACAGCAAGTGACTGAAAAGACAATGGCCTGAATCAAGTGCACCTTAATCCTCAAACTGATATCATTGCTCCTCAGTAATTTAGAGAGGTTCTTGACTGCAGACTTTCCCAGTGCAATATATCTTCTGATCTCCTCACTGCAGGTACCAAAGGTGTTGATTGTGGATCCAAGGAAGAGGACATCAGTGACAACATCAATCTTTTCTCCATTCATCATGATTTTGCCTGTTAGTCCAGTGGTAAGAATTCTTTTTGACATTGAGATGAAATTCACATTGAAATCTTTTGCACCAAGTGCTTCAAATCCTCCTCCCTTTCAGCAAGCAAGGTTGTATCATCCACATGTTGTTGTTGTTGATGATTGTCATCGGGTCAAGCATGACTCATAGGGACCCTATTAACAAAAGGCCTGAAACCTTTCTATAACTATCGTTGTTTCTCCAAGTTCACAGAGTTTCCAGAGGCATGTGGTTTAGGAAGTAGATTCCACTCCTGCTTCCAAACTTGAGTCAATCTGGGAGCTCCACCAAACACTGCCCACGATGGATAGCCATTATGGTGTTTGGCATACCTATGGCACAGTTGTTCCATTATGGCATTGGGGACCCAAACCAAATGGCACAAGATTCAGTGTCACAGCAAACCCAGATTACCTCATCACAGCAAATTGACCAGTGTGCTGAATGAGCTAAAAGAATATTCCTCCAAAAGATAGTAACAAGGGACTAAAATATAATCCACCGAGTCCAACTTTTAAATACAGGGGCCCTCCAGGAGGTTTTATTGACTCTAAACAAGAGGCTTAAATAAAAACAACTAAACAATCTACACAGATCTTCAACCAAAACAAAAGCTCCATCTTACAGAGTCCAGCCGCTTCATCCAACTCCAAAACGGAGCTGGTTATTGGTGACTCTTCCTCCAATCTTGATGCCACATTCTTCTTCAGAGAGTGCAGCTTCTCGGAATAATGTGCTCATTATACAGACTGAATAGGAATGGAGAGGCTACAACCCTGACATACCACTACTAATTTTCAACTAGACAATGTTCCCTTGTTCTGTTCACACAACAGCCATGTGGTCTAAGTATCGGTTTTGCATCAAAATATGTAAGTGTTCTGGATTCCCATTCTTCTCAATGTTAGCCCTTATTGATGATCCACACAGTCAGATACCTTGCATAGTCAATAAAGCATAAACAGACATTCCCCTGGAATTCTTTGCTATCAGCCAGGATCCATCTGACATCAGCAATGATATCCCTGGTGCCACAGCCTCTTCTAAATCACGCTTCAAATTCTAGCAGTTCCATATCTATGTTCTGTTCCAGCTGTCTTTGAATGATCTTCTTCAGTATTTTGCTTGCATGCAATAGTGATGGTCCTGTTCGATAATGTCAACATTCTGTTTGATCACCTTTTTTGGAAAAGGGAACAAACATGGGTCTCTTCCAGTTAGTCGCACAGACAGCTGTCCTCTAGATTTCCTGGCATAGACTGGTCAGTACATCTGGGGCTGTATCTGTTAGTTGAAGCACGTCACTCAACATCCCATCAAGTCCTGGAACCTTAGTTTGGGTAATGCCTTCAGTGTAGCTTAAACATCTTCCTTTGTTACCACTGCCTCTTGTTCATATGTTAATTCCTGAAGTTTTTCCGTTATCTGTCCATTCTTTTTAGTACAATGACTTCTGTGTGTTCCCTCCATCTTCTTTTGATGCTTCCTGAAACATTCAATATACTGCCCCTTACATCCTTCAGTACTGCAACTCCAGGCTTAAATTTGGTTTTCACTTCTCCCAGCTCGAGAAATGCAGAGTGAGCGCCTCCCTTTTTATTCTGCAATTCCTGCTCTCTGCACATTTTTGCTTTGTTTTCTCAAGCGGCCCTTTGAAATCTTCTCTTCAGCTCTTTAACTTCACCGTCTTTTCCCTTTATTTTTGGCTTCTTGATGCGCTGGTACAATTTTCAAAGCAAATTTCAATCAAAATTGCAGAAGTGCTGGAAGTAATAGCAATAGCAACTCTCTTATCTGCCTCCTCCCTTTTTCTGACATTGTTTTGCATTTGGGTTTTGGGTTTTTCCCCCCACCTTCCTTCCTGAATAAAGTCCCATCAGCAGCGTGTTACTGCAGTGTGTGTTAAAGAAACCCCATTCTCAAAGGATATGGCAAACGTTTTTAAACCTGTTTAAAGATGTGTTCTGGTTTCTACAGGCTCAACTATATGAAGAAGCTAGCCTTCAAGGGGAAAATAAAAATAAAAAGTGGAACGAGGAGCTTCCCTAATTTTCTCCCTTCAGCTGTCACAAGTATTGCAAAGGACAGTACAGTTCAGGATGCAGGATGCAATTCTTGGCCCTGATGCTAATAGCGAGTGAATACAATTAGAATGCTCCCAGAGAGAAACTCCGTAATGTCCAGCATGTGTGGTCTAATCAGGAGAGTTTCAGGACTTCCATTCTAAGTGTACAGCTGAACAGGGGATTTAAATCATGAAAAGCTCCTTTGGGAATGAAATATGGTAATATACAATTTTCAATTGAGGAGAGTCAGAACAGAATAGCAAAAAAAAAAAAAAAATCCCCATTACCTGAGGTGTCAAATACATTTTTTGCTTACCTTCAGCGTGGAAAAACGTGTTTCCTCCCTCTCAAAAAAATTATTTTTACAGAAATAATGCAGCCTGCAATTCCCAGGGAGAAGCCTTGCTGAAGTGAATGGGAAAATAATTCCTCAGGACACCTTCGGGAACAGTCTGGTTGAGGGGATTCATAATGGGGTAAGGAACCTTTCACCTCCAGGTCCTCAGTCCCATTCTGGCTCAGAATGGAAAAGTGGGAAAGTCATTAACGTTGACTGAGCCGGTGAGAGGCCTCAGCAAAGCCGGCTGAAAGGGGCAGACCCAGACGCACCACAAACACAGACAGTATCTGATCTAAGGACAGGGCTAGTGGGTTTACTCTATGCCTGGCCTTGCTCAGAGCTCAGACACTAGGATTTAGCATTTCAAAGGTGGTGCCACCCTGATAAGTACACACAGAAATTGGGAACATGGAGGGGGAAAAAAAATAACTTTCACCTCAAAGACATTCCAAAAAGAAAAGGTGCCTCCCTTCTGGAAGAACTGCAATGCAAAAAAGAACTCAAGTTTGCCCTGAAAAAAATAAAATAAAATACTTTCCTAAGGTCTTTTCTCCATCCATTGGGAAGAGAGACTTTTGTTAGCTTCCAAATTAAAACAAAATGCAGTTCAAAATATCCCAAAAGAGTATGCCCAAATTTCCATCTCTTTCTTTCTGAATTGATAATCCACTTATTTCTTTAAACAGCGTGAGCTGTGTGGTCATTCATCATAAGCCATCCCACGCCTCCTCCCAGCCTAGGGTGTTGTTATTCTGGACAGTGTCCAGGTCTGAATCCCCATCTACCCTGCTACTTAATGTCTGTAAGGAAAGGCAAACATTAAGTCTGGATACTCAAGTTCTCTGAGCTTCTCTGCTACAAAATTAGAATAGTAACAAACCCTAGTTTACAGGACAACAGGGTGAGGCAGAACCAGGGCAAAAGGCCGTTGGTACGTGAGTAGCACTCAATGGTTAACTGTCATTGCCATTATTATCTTGAGCTTGGTATTGAGACTAATAACACATGTTCGCTGCCCTGGAGAAGATCACAGTTTGGTAGCAAAGACAAATGAATGAACACAATCTAAGGCTCTTGATTTCTGCAGGTGGGAATGTAGGCATCGTTTTGGGGTAAAGCAAAGCAAAG